AGAATAAAATAATAGTAATATTAGCAAGTACTCAGTAAATATTAGGTGTTATTATTATAAGTCAACCTAACAGAAACAACAGTAATACTCCAAGATTAGGTACATACCTATTTTAAAGGTATGGAAATTGAGGCACAGAAAGCTTATGTCCATACAGCAAGGAATGGGGCTAGAATTCCAAACGAGGTAGTCTAATTTCAGCACCCAATTCTTAATTGATATGTGAGGGCATCCCCTCACCTATTTCCATGACTCCTCACTTCCTACCCCTTTCCCACCCACACAATCTCACCATTAGACAACAATGATCAGGTGCTAGTAACCTGAAGGTTAATGTCTAAAACTTCCAGGCCGGGAGCTGCAAACAATATTGATGGGGCATTCTGCCAGTCCTTTTGAGTGACAGTAGAGCCATTTCATAACTAGGCTGAGGAAGAACTTGGCATTATCCAAACAGATGAAGAAAGTGGTCTTTGGAGCTCATGGCTTGATGAAAGTCAGAATGTCCCAAGTTTTCAGATCCTCCTGGGGTTGAATATTAGCTTGAAAGCTGCCAAAGGTCACCAATATATCAGAAAGCAAACAAAAGTAGACACATATTCTCTTGTTTAAAAGCTATAATCTGTTAACCAGTGAGGATGGGTGAAGCTCACGCCTGATTCTTTTTTTCTTTTTTTGAGTTGGAGTCTCACTCTCGCCCAGACTGAAGTGCAGTGGCCGCTGCTGGCCACCGCAGCCTCGACCTGCTGGGCTCCGGCAATCCTTCCGCCTCAGCCTTTCAAGTAGCCGGAATTACAGGCATGCGCCACCATGCCCGGCTGATTTTTTGATTTATTGTAGAGATGAGGTCTCACTGCCCAGGCGGGTCTCCAATCCGCGGGCTCAGGCAATCCACTCACCTCAGCCTCCGAAAGGCGCGGGATTACAGGCTGAGCCACCAAGCCCGGCTCACGCCTGATTCTTAGGGAGCTCGGGTTGCTGTCGACAACCAATCAGGCCAGTAGAGCCTCTCTTCACCTGGGATGGAGATGTGGCATTGGATCAACACCTGATTATTTTGTAACCCAGCACTAACAGGTACAAAAAGGCAGCCTTGAAAATGGGTACAATAGGCCCATCTGTTGGCAATGGAGGGGCCTCAGGGAATGGCCTTCTCCCTTCTCCCTTCCTCAGTGTCATATTTTAGGGCTTTAAATTTCTCCAAGAAGCATTTTTATTGTAGTTTAAATGGATCCTTTCAGCCTCGAATTGTTACCTGTGAGCAACCATTTCAAGACCTGCAATCCCATTTTCTTCTGCAGAAGTGGGATCCCAGAATGGCACCTGGTCCATAAAAAGTGGGGATACACCAAGAGTCCCCAGCAATGAGCTTGTCAGTGGTCAGCCTTGCTTGTACGGCGGCTGCTAGGGTTTAGGTACAGGTAGTATCTATGAAACAGAAAAACTGATGAATAAGGATAGGAAAGGAAGCTGTAACAAGAACCCCACTAGTGCTGGAATATCAAGATAGGAGAGAACTAATTCTGAGATACTCTGGAATAATCTAGAAAGGCCTTAAAAATCCACATATCAGCATATGAGTACAGCTTCTCTCCCTCTTCCCTCTCTTCCTCCCTCTCTTCTTCCCTCCCTCCCTCTCTTCCCTCCTTTCCTCCAGCATTCCTTTCTGAAGCAGGCAGAATAGCTATTCCCCAAGAAAGTTCATGTCCTAATTCCTGGGATTTGTAAATATGTTACCTTACATGGCATAAGGGACTTTTCAGATGCAATAAGCTAAAAACCTTGAAATAGGAACATTATCTTGAATTCCTTGTAGAAGGGGGAGGCACAAAAGGAGATCAGAGGAATGTGATGTGAGAAGAACTGGACCCATTTTTACTAGCTTTGAAGATGGAATAAAGGGCCACCAGCTAAGGGATGCAGGTGCCTCTAGAAGCTAGAAAAGACAAAGCCCCCCAAAAGGAACCAGCCTTGACATCCCTGCCCTTCTCTCCCTCCCTCCCCTCCCCTCCCCTTCCTTCCCTTTCTTCTTTCCTGAATAATATGGTACAAATACCACTAGGTGAGATTGACCAAAAAAGGCATTTTACTCTCAAATAGGTTTCGGGGGGAAATAAGTTCTTTGTATTATTCTTGGAACTCTTCTGTAAGTTTGAAATTATTTCCAAAAAAATTGATTATAATATTCATATACTTCTTTAAAACTGTTCTTGGGATTTAAGAAGTTAATCCCTTCTCACTCATATAAGGGACCTTGAACATCCAATGTAATACTATAAGAAAATGACTGACGATACTGGGAAACTGTGGGGGGGAGGGAGATGGGATTAACAGTAGCAAATATCTGTCTGGGGACAGGGAAACACCTCTTATCAACAGGGTGCCTGAATGAAACGTAATTGTATACCTAACCCTTAACTGTACCCCACAACATCATAATAATATTGATAAAAAAAGAAATTAATCTTATAAATTGAAGCATAATTTACATGCTGAAAATTCCAGTTTTTTGGACATATTGTTCATTGAGTTTTGACAAATGTATACAGTAATGTATCCACAACACAGAAAAACCTTAACTATGAATTCATCTTACTTTTAAAACTGTTAAAGATTTAATTGGGTTTTTAGACATGCTTCCATTCATTTTATAGATACAAATATTAAAGCTGTTATTACTTTTTCATTCAAATTTTCAGATATGTAACATATAATACTAAACTTTGTTTAACTTCAAAGAAAGGTTAAAAATCTTACACTAAAACAAGCAAACAAAAAGACATAAGATCTGTCCTTCACAGGAAAAAGTGCTTGCATTTCCTCTCCTTTCCCCATTAATGTTGCATGGTTGCTGTGTAGACAGAGATGTGCTTCTTCCAGGAAAAGCCTCATTAGTCCCCAAAAGAAGCCCTGCCTACCTGCCTCATTGTCTTGCCAGCTATTGCAGGCACTATCCTTCAGGTGTGCTCCCAGAGATTCTGAATCCACCTACATGCTCCACTGTGGGCTATGGCACTTAACTTCCCTTATCCTCAAGTTTGGCTAATAGGCCACAAAGTGGGGACTGACACTTTGCTCAAAGGCTAGCAGACATGAGACTGTGTACTCAGTCTCACAGTATTGGAAAGGAGGGGGAAAGGAATAATTGAGCATGAGATTAACAGATTTCTAATTTGGTCTCTAGCTTTCTCCTGATGTCCTTGTAGGAAGACAGAAAAACTCAATTCATGTTACAACTCAGAGGTGTGGTGAAAAGGATAATTTTTTCCCTCTGTAACAGGAACTTTTTCCTAAGCCCTCTCCTTAGTCTCCTTATTGGATACTAGGAGAAAATTAGCTACATCTGCAAAGCAGTCTAAAGTTTCTTCCCTTTATGTGGGGTTAAGTTTCTGTCAGTTAAAATGCTCAATATCCCAAACAGCTTCTTTTTCTTTATTTCTCTCTAAGATTTTGTTGTAGTTGGGAAGCGTTAATGGAAAAATCAAACTCTGTAAAATATTTTAAAGGAGTGAACCTGGCCCCGAGAGTTTCAAGATGTCTAGAAAAAGTGCACATGAGGCAGTCAGATTACAGCTTGGCTTTATGTATTTTAGGAAGGCAAGAGTTACATGCAAATATATAAATTAATACATAGAATGTACATTCATTTGGCCCCAAAAGGCAAGATATCTTCAAGTGAAGGCTTATAGGTTATAGGCAGATTCAAAGATTCTTTCTTTCATTTGCAATTGATTAAAGAAGTAAGGTTCTATCTAAAATTTAGAGTCAACCGAAAGGAATGTTTTAAATTAAGGATGCTATGTAGCAAGATTGATGCCCTGCAGGTATGAGACATCCTTGCTTTGCATAACCTTAGGTCTTGTCTATAAATTGGTATAATTGCCACGAAGAGTCTGTTTCATCGGTCTGTTTTAACATTAATGCAGGTCAGTTGTGCCCAAACTCCAAAAGTAAAAGAACTAGTCATGTCTGACTTCCCTTCCCTTCATGGCCAAGAACTCCATTTTTTAGATTTTTCTGGGGTCCCTTTGGCTAAAAAGGGGTCTGTTCAGTCGGTTAGAGGGTTTAGAATTTTATTTTTAGTCTATAGACAAATACAGCATACTGGACCTGGTGGTTTGGGGGTGAAGTTGGGGTTCCCATGTAGCCTGAAGACCTAGTGCTGTCCAGTGACTCTGCTGATTTCTGGATGATGCTTCTTTTCCACTGGCTTGCTAGGTGCCTTGATGGCCTCCAGTGCTGACATCTGGGTGGTTATTACTTGGGGTTGTTAATGTAACCAGTAGAGCTTTCTGGGTAATTTCATTTTATCTCAGCTCCTGTTAGCACCATCAGCACCTTGCAGACACCGAGATACCCGTTTGTTTCTGGCATCTGTTTTTCATCCCGCAGGATTTTCTGCAAGACCTCCTTGTCCCAGTAAAGACAACTCCTTCTGTCAATTTCCCCTAGGTAAACAGGCAGATTCTTCTACATCCTGTGCTCCTCAGCAGATCAAGGCCGTGGATGCAGGAGACTGGGTAAGCTCCTGATCTTCTCTCCGCCTAGGATTCTTCATCCCATCAAATGCAAGTAATAATAGCTAGCGTTCATTGAACATTTCCTATTTGGCACTTTTTAGGGTGCTTTATATGACAATGTGCCAGGCAAACGTCTAAGTCAGTGCTTCTTAAACTCTCTGAGATAGGTGGCTAGCTTTTTCTTTAATTTTCAATTTGTCACAGATGAATGTTTTTGGAAAGTACAGTAACAATGAATTTCTAGAAAAAACATCGGGAAAAAGAAAAAAAAAGCCCTACAAAACTTGTGCACATTGTCCACTGAAAGTGATGTATAGGGGGCGGGGGAGGTGCTAGGAGGTGGCGCCATCTCCTAAGCCCCGCCCCCACGGTCGCCTCCTCAGTTCGGTCCTTCACCCTCACCTACCTGTCTCCTTTCTCAGCCGTTGCGGTGTGCTCCGTTGAGTCCGTTGCTCCGTTGTGGTGTGCGCCGTGGAGTCCGTGGCTCGCCATGTCTTCTCACAAGACTTTTAGGATCAAGAGATTCCTGGCCAAGAAACAAAAGCAAAATCGCCCCATTCCGCAGTGGGTTCAGATGAAAACTGGCAATAAAATCCGGTACAACTCCAAGAGGAGACATTGGCGAAGCTCCAAGCTGGGCCTGTAAGGAATGGCACGTGAGACGGCGCAGACGTTGATGCTGTATCAAGGTCACCATCACCTTACCATGTCAAGTTGAAAATGTCACCACAGTCTGGGAAGCTGGACGCGTTTTATTGGAAAACGTTTTTTGTCTTTGTTTATATGCTCTGCATTAGTAGGTGGGCTTAGTAATAAATATGTAAAGCCTTTTAAAAAAGTATATGTGTAAGTGACTAATATAGAGAACTATTACTGTTATGATAACATATTTCATATGTGTAAGTGACTAATATAGAGAACTGTTATGATAACACATTTCACAATCATAACTCATATTTCACATTCATAACTTTACAAAAATTATGATTGAAATAGTGATTCCTAGTATTAAGAGCCTTATGCACACTTTGAAGACCTGCTATCTATATATCAACATTTAGGGCTTTTAATGTCCTAAATGAGCTTTCTTCTTGATTTACAAACTTATCAACCCAATGAAGATTTGATTAATGAGTTTCTAAACACTTGCTATTCAACTGTACTTTTATACTTATCTAGTTGCAGATTAATAGCAAGCAATTTGTTCATGAAATACACTTTAACACTGTTCTACATGCTGTACATGTGTTAACTAATCATCACAACTCCTCTATGAGGACAATATTATCACACAACTAGTAAAGTATGTAATAAGTGTTAAAGTTTTGGGACTCAGGTTTTGGGACTTCAGGGTCCCTGTTCATAGCATGTGGTAGAGGGAAGGAGGTAGTGTCAGGTAGATTTCTATCTTCTTTTGAAGATCCAGGATGAAGTGAGCTAATGAGTAAGGGGAAATGAAAAACCAGTCTGGGGAAAATGGCATGAGGTAGATTAGGGCATGGGCTAGAAATTTGGGTAATCCGAGGTGGTCTGTATCATTCAGTACCAAGGAGAGTACAGGTAAACTCAAAAGAACCAGAAGTGGGTTCCCAACTTCCAGCTCCGGGGCTGAGTAGAGGCCTGCGATTAGAAAGGCCTGTTGCTTAGTGTTGGTTATAATCTTCAATCAAAGGATAAAGAGTAGATCATGCAAAACATTTCCATTTGTTTCATAAATGTAGTCTAACCAAATAGGATGGACAGTTTACTGTAGCCAGAACAATGGTATTAATCAACCAAATGCAAATTAAATAGTTTACTTGACTGAACTTTCTAGCATCCTGCATTTCATATTTATAAATACATACCATTTAGAAGAGGCTTGGCTCTTAATAAGGTCTTTATAAAGTTCTTTTTTAAGAACTGAAATGTTTTATAGGTAGATAAAATGTTTCCATCACTTAATTTTATTCTGGTGACTTAAATAAGAACTTAAGAATTTGTGAAATATCTTCCCTATGATAAAGCAGATAAAGAGGTAAATGGGTATAATAACAGAAAAACCAAATTCTGCCAAAATATTTAAAGAGGTTTATTTGGAGCCAATATAAGTGACCACAGCCCAAGGAAACACCATCTCAAGCTTCTGAGAAAGTACGCCCAATCCCAAGGCAGTCAGATTACATTTCAGGGAGACAGAAATTGTAGGTAAAATCATCATGGATGCTACTTACTGGTTCAGCTCAAAAAAGTAGGACATCTCAAAGCAAGGGCTTGCAAGTCATATGTGGGCTTAGGAATTGATTGAAAGAGTTATGATTTATCTAAAGACCTGGAGTCAGTAGAAAGGAATGCTTGAGTTAAGGTAAGGGGGTCTGCTATCTTTCATATGATGCCATACCAGAGTCAGGTTAAAAAGAAAGTCACAATATACGAAGTCAATAAAAAATCCATTTAACAAAATTTTATAATTTGTAAGATGTGACACCCCAGGTTCCTTAGAAAAGAATCTGAGTAATAAAAAAATGAGTTCAGCCCTCAGTGAATTTCTTGAATTGTCTCATCAAAGAAGACTGGATTAGAAACATGAGGCATTATTCAAGCCGTTCCTGCCAAAGACACAGAGATAGAAGGAAACCAAGGTGAGAGTGAGGTATGTTTGTGTGTGTGTGTGTGTGTGTGTGTGTGTGTGTGTGTGTGTGTGTGTATCAGTTCTTTGATTTCCTCACAAACTTTTCCAATTCAGCCTAGCTCTATAGGGAGGTGGAGGTAACTGAGAGTTACCTCCACCTCCCTATAGTAATGGGACTATCTCACTTATGGTAGGCTCTCCACCTCCTTAAGTAATGGGACTATCTCACTTATGGTAGGCTCTCAACTCACTATGTGTAAACTTTGAAGAGGATGAGATTTGGGATTTGGGCCACAGGTGTCCATCTGAAGTAAAGCACCGACAATATCTCCTACTCTGTTCCCTGGATGAGCATTCTCACAGAACCTAGTATCATAGCCAAGGCTGAAGTTCTATTAAGGAGCATCCAGTCTCCAGTCCAAACCACAGAGAAAAAGGATACAATGAGTAATCACTCCTTGATTTTTCCATGATAAATTTGTGCTTTTCTCCTATTATTTTGTCGCATGTCAGTGACTTTCAGGTAACTTTCACTTTGGTTCATACAGGAGGTAGAATAATGGACCCTCAAAGGTCCTATTCTGCAGAACAACCTGTGACTATGTTAGATTACATGGTAAATAGGGAATTAAGGTTATAAATGGAATTAAGGCATGATAAATAAAAATAAAATTCTAAGTCCCCCAACTGACTGAATGGACCACCTCTTGGCCAAGGGGATTCCAGAGAAACCTTGGAAGGTGAGCTTCCAGCCATGGGGGTATGAGAAACTGGACAAACCTCATTATATTCCCTCACTTGCTAACTGCCATTAGGCTTTTTTCTCTAAAGGCTAAACAGAACCCAGCCCTTTCTAAAGATTCCTCACCGATAATGTTGATTCCTAGCTTATCCTCCCAGGTGCAGAATGAAGGCAAGATGGGAATAATTGTTCCTTCAACCCCCGCCCAGACATATACTTCTTCTATTCCATTTTCCTTCAAATATTCGTCTTATGTAAAATGTAAATTTACTGAGCACTAACTCAAGTTTCACAAGTATATAACCATTTGCTTGTCTGCCTCTCCTTACCTTCACTCTTTTCAAGGAAAATGTATAAACACTAAATTTCCTGAGAGCCTTTTTGGGAAAACGATGCATCTGTGACTCAAGTTTTTCCTGGGAACACCCTCAAGTTGGCTCAATAAACCTCGATTGATTGAACACCTGCCTCAGTCACTCATTTTGTTTGTCAGGCTGTTAATCAGCTAACATTAAGATCAAGAGATTATGTACATTTTCTGGGTGGGCCAAAAATCATCACAAGGGTCATTACATTAGAAGTCAAAGAAGAGAATCAGCATGAGGTGATGTAAATAGAAACTGAACAGCTCTTGCTGGCTCTGAAGGAGAAAAGGAGGCGATAAGACAAGGAGTATGGTCAGCCTCTAGAAGCTTGAAGAATCAAGAGAAAAAACTTTCCCCTAGAGCCTACCAATACTTAGATTTTTTTAAAAATATATTTTATTTTAAAGATGTGGAATACAATTCAGGATTAGGTATACAAGTGGACATAGTACGGGTAAAGTTTGGGCCTCCCTTTTGTCCTCACTTTGCCTGGTTTGAAATCAGATACACTTATTGATATTGTGTTCTCCCTGCCCCTGCCACCCCAGCAGTATCCCACTACTGCCATTTCCTTTCTTATGGTATTATAAAAAAAATTTATTATAAAGATGTGGGGTACAATTCAGGGTTAGGTGTACAAACATTGATCAAGCAGGTATCCCTTTAAATGAGGTATGCCTCTCCCTTCCCTAGCAGTTTCCCTCAACTGCCAATCCCAACCCCCCAACAGTTTCCCATTACTGCCAATCGCTGTTTTATAGCATTATAAATGTTCAAGTTCCTCTTATGAGTGAGAACATATGGAACTCTGTTCTTTGTTTCTGTGATAGATCACTGAGTATGATAGACTCCAAATCCATCCGGGTTGCTGCAAAGTCCATATATTTGTCATTCTTTATGGCTGCATAAAATTTCATTGGGTATATGCACCACATTTTTTTATCCAGTGGGGAAACATGGTTGGTTCCTTGTTTTTGTTACTGTGAATAGAGCTGCAACAAACATACGTGCGCAGGTATCTTTGTAGAATAATTTGAGTTCCTCCGGGTATATTCCCAATAGGGAAATTGCTGGGTCATGTGGAAAGGCAATTTCTAGTTCTTTCAGAAATCTCTAGACTGTTTTCCAGAGAGGTTGTACAAGTTTGTATCCCCACTAGCAGTGTAGAAGCATTCCTTTTTCTCCATATCCTCACCAGCATCTGTTGTTGTTTGTTTTATTAATGATGCCCATTCTTACAGGGGTTAGGTGGTGTCTCAATGTGGTTTTGATTTGCATTTCTATGATGACGAGTGAGGCTGAGCACTTTTTCATGTGTCTGTTGGCTGCCCATATGTCTTCTTATGAGAAGTGTCTATTCATGTCTTTTGCCCATTTTTTAAAGAGGCTGTTTGTTTTTTTTTCCCTTTGGTGCAATTGAGTTCCTTGTAGATCCTAGATGTTAGACCTTT